GCAGCCCTGACACCGCGCTCCAGCCGGAGCGGGGCCGAGCCGCTTTGTGCGGCTCAGGAGCTGGCTTAAAACGGCTCATGGGCCATAGTTTGCCCACCCCTGATCTAGATCAAGCAATCCTTTATTTCCTGTGGGCTAATAGAACCGATAGAAAGGGAATTGTACACTGAGAATGCCAGTATATCTGACACTGAAAAAATTAATTTTAATGGAAACTAAATCCCCTGGAATAGTTCCAAATTGGACAATGGAAAGCAGAAAATAAACGGAAGAAAGTAACTTAAACATTTTTGGAGTGGTGTGGTGATAGGGAAAGACAAAGTATTGTCTGACTTGTACATTTGTGGATGGTAATCACATGGATTGGAGGTATCCTCAACCAAATTGCAGCATTTATTCAAGGCACTTTATAAGATACAGTGGTTTTGTTAGCGCTGTTGATGAATGATGTACGTGCTTTAAATATCTGTTGATTTACTAATAATGACTGTTTACAAACTTCTGTCTCCCAGTACAATGAGTGGAGAAATGATGGAATAAAGTAGAAGGATCTAGTTAGAAGTTGGCTATTTATCTCTTAGATCAAGTTTTGGTTGTTTTTTTTAAGGGTTTTTTTAAACTTAGCTGACAAACTATTTGCTGTTATCTATCCATAATGTCTTAATGTCATGGCTGCAATTTGCAGGCCAACACTTCTAATGTTTTTTCAAGAGTGCTTGGCAACTGGGAAATCCTGGCTAGTAATTCTTAGTGCTTTTAGTATCAAATGCTAAATGAGGCAGAAGTATAACAGTAATGGTGCTGTTTTTTAAAAAAGTGGTCGTACATAGTTCAAAGTGGTACGAGCACATCTCGGTGTAGTAGTGCGAGGACTGGGCCCCCAAGCAACCTGACAGCTAGTCATTGGGCTGGTCATCTTCATCCCAGGTGCATCGGACACTTCCATATATGCCCTGCTGTAGCCAACAGCCTTCTTTTGCTTTTGGGAGTAGCTCTGTGGCTACCTACAGGAACTGTTCCTTCTTGGCAGAGTGGTCTCCTAGGCAGTTGACAGCAGTTCCTGTTTGGGCCTTCTCAGGGCTGATCACAGGAAAACTTTGAGGCCTCTGGGTACCCCTGAGTTCCCTGCAAATGAAGCCAAAGGAGCAGTTGCTCATCAAGATTCTAGGCTACCCAGCCAGGGCTCCTTTAGCCCAGGCTTCAGCAGATGCCAGCTTGCTCGGCGCTCTCCTCAGGGTTCCAGAGGAAGAGAAGGTAAAGTTCTCAAACTTGATAGTATGTATTGAGAGGAGGGACTCACTCTGTGAATGGTGTCCCATGTCTGGTGTGTGAGGCAGAAACCTGCAGGCATATTTGCAAAGACTGTTTGTAAGGTATTGTCCAGGCATCTTGAGCCTGTCACTCTGGCCCTGATTGTAGCTGAATCTCATTCTTCTTTCAATTTCTTTCTGAAGGTCGTTTTGCAGCTGAAATGACGAGATTCTGACTATCAGTGACATCTGTTGGTGGTGGTTCCACAAGAGACTGCAAAGAGAATGGAGATATACTCTATAAAGTGGGAAAGTAATGATGCTATTAAAGTACTGAGTTAAGCAAGCAATACTGATGTGGACCAGAAGATTTATCACAAATTTGCTGGAAAAAGAAAGCCTGCTGTCCACTAGACCCAAAACACAGTTGCCTTGTAGAAAATGCTGAAAGTTGTATAGGCCTATGAAAGACTACAGTAGCATTTATGAAAAATTTGAGTGCTGTGTTTGACTTTGGAGAGGAGATTTTGCAGATGTACATAAGCTTGTTTTTGTTCAGAATAAGAAATCTTGCCTTCACAGTAACTTATTACATAACAGTGTAATATAAGTTGCTTTCTTGGGAAGGGTAAGCACACCTGTGTCCTGGAACATAAATATTTGATACTTGTGAATAGCAAAGTAATAAACTGTTGATGCTTTACATAGATAATGGCTTTTGAAAATTTAAAAAAATCTTTAAACATTCAGAACCTTCCGACCTGTGTCTTGTGGGTTTCACATAATTGTCTTGAATCTGCTCTGAAAACTGCACCAGTGTCAAAGTTCTGAATAAGAAACACGTGGCTTTCAACTGACAAGTGTGACTCAAAAAAAAAAATCAAGTGGTAGTTTTGCAGAACAGTAGGTCAGCTATTTCCAAAGTGTGTCTGAGTGTATATGCTGTACACAGGCTGTCAGAATAGTGCTCCCAGCCCAATATAGCCATTTTTCTGCAGGGAGGGTGTTACACATCTGCTGAGTTTGGGGGCAGGATTTAGACTACATGCAGAATTTCGGAAGAGAATTTATTGATACCAGAAATCTGTCTGATTCAAATAATTACATGCTTGTCTAAATATCAAAACATGTTTAGTTGTATTTAAATAGAATAAAAAAAAATGTATGCATTCGTTTTACTTGCAGTGAACTGTAGTAAACCATGTTATCTGCCTTTAACAAATAAATTCTTGTGACTCTCTTGCAGCCGGAGGATGCGGAAGTGATGTAAAGGGCAGAATCCTGCTTTCATACCCAGATAATAGTGATTTGTGAGGTACAAGACCCAAGACTATCATTCATTTCAGTAGTTAGGTTCCCATTGACTTGTGTGGGAGCAAGACCTGAGTTCAGATTTACATCTCCAAGAGAAAACAGTCAGCCACTACAACATTCTGTAGGCCAGATCCTCACCTGGGATAAATCAATTGGAGCTTTGCCAACTTGCATCACTTAAGAAGCTGGCCCTGTAAGGAAACATTAGCTCTGCCAGCATAAAATATAGGTGTCTTTTAAGTCAGTAATATGAAGGAATTCACTTTACATTACCTTAATTACTGAAATGCAAATTCATATTAATTATTTTCTATTTTTCTGCCTTAGATAGAATTTTAATTTTCTCTTTCCACTGTGAATAGTATTTGTAATTAAATGAATGTGTAAATACTTTGTGTTTTGCATATGGCAAGCTAATGAAAAAGCCATGAACCACCACTATTTAATATTATGGTCAGAGTACTACATAACAAAATTTCAGAAATGATAATTGCAAATGAACTCTTATTTTACTGTATCATTGTAATGGGATCTTCAGTAGGAATGAATTAGAGAGAAACAACCTTCATATATCACATAGAATAGTTACGTGTAACTTCAAGCAATTTATTTTAGATGCAGAGAGATGCACTGGATTTTTCTGATTGAAATATAGCAATTTTGTTGCTTGCTCAAAGATATTCAGGCTATTATTGCTTTTTTAGCCTTGTTTTTGTCTTTCTGTTGTTGAAATGAGTGAATAGGTTTGCTTATCAGGTTAACGCAATCCATTATTGATTTGTGTATGTAAATTCTACTGATTTAGGCTAGCATGGCAGTAGCCCTAAGGGCTGCCACCTTTGATCACTAGTGTGCAGAATTGACGCCCCAAGATTGTTGGGAAGTTATGGAAGGAATATTCAGGATAGTGTTTCCCACGTAGAGTACCCATCATGGGGTAAAATCCCTCCAAACCCTGAAGTCCTCCATGTCTGTATTATATGTTGGACTAGTAATACTGTATATTATTTGTACTACCTAGGAGCCCTAGTAATGGACCAGCATCCTGCTGAATATATGTATAGTAAAGGGACCAAGGAAGGGGTACTGAGTGATTAACCAGAGAAGAGAGAACCCCAAAATATATCTTTAGTATTTCATTTCTGTGTTAGGCATTTAGTCATTGTAGGCAAAGTTTATTTTTATATTAATTGGTTGTAGACCAGTTTTGTAACTTGGCTGGAGAAATGTACTTAAATGTACCTAAATTATGCAGTCATGTTTATCCAATTTAGTAACTACAGTTGTTTACAGTGATTCTCAGACCTCTGTGGTTCAGGAGCCACATTAGCGATTAGTATTACCCAAAAGAGCCACAGTAGTGTGACTTCATTGTTTCATTTACTGTAGTACTATATATTCAGATTTAAACAGTATGACATGGGAAATACTAATTTATTATATATATAAAATTCTCACAGCAAAATGACTGATCAAGTATTATTTTATCAACTACAATTGGTTAATAATATAGTAGAAGCATCCTGATTGGTTGTTAATTAAATCAGTGTTTTTATATTATATGCTGTAAAGAGCTGCAGGAGACACATTGAAGAGCCACTTGCACCTTGTGAGCTTCAGTTTGAGTATCACTGTCTGATAGTTAGAGAGTAGTGTCAACTGCAACTCCTTGAGGTTGTGAGCTCCTCAAGAAGCCAGGTGCCAGAGAATAGAGAAAGTTAGTAATGTGGACAAACTAACAGCGTGGTTTGTGTGTCTTTGGGCTCTTCAGGTTTTGGATGCTGTGGTCTAAATTTTCAAAAGTGATTAATGATTTTAGGTGCCCAATTTGATCTACATTAAAGGGGCCTGTTTTTCAGGAAGTTCTGGGCACTCAAAAATTAAGACACCTGAAATCTTAGTTGCTTTAGATCCTATGCTTCTAGCCTTCTCTGCAGATTTTTCCAATCCCTCTCCCTGAGCGGAGAATTTAGTTAAAATTCAGCAAGTTGAAACTAGAAGTCTTCCCCCTCTTATGGGATTCACAGTGGGAAGGGAGATCATCACCCTATATATTTATCTGATAGCCTCTGGTGACTGCATAACTGTGAAATTCTTAAAACTTGAATGCAGATAGCTATAAATTAATGGACATACAATCATAAAAGATATTCAAGTAAAACCAGTGACTTTCCTCTATTCAGGCTGAAAATCGTGCTCGATTTTTGGATTGAATAGCTTATCCTATACTGTTCCCCCCAACACACACACACACACACACACACACACACACACACACACACACACACACACACTACTACTTACTACTAG